TCTCTTACTGTGCCTGTGAACACCATCTAGAAATGTTTACAACTCTTGCCTGACCAGCTGTCTGCCACATTCCCTCCTCTCCTTCTCCCACCTTAGCTCCTACCTCACTTCCTCTTCACCATGGCCCTTGTTTTTCCCATTTTCTGCCTCCACCATGATGCGCCCTGATAATACCATGAGTTCTTAGAAGCAATTCAGACCAGTCTCCAGCTTTCTCAGGTGAGGAAACAGGTCGAGAGGGGGGAAGTAGCTAATCCAAAGTCACACCGCTTCATTCATTTATTCACTCAACCAAGAACACTCCTTACCCTTTTAAGATTTAGCTTAAATGTCACCTCATCAGAGAAACCTACTCTACTTTCTTTAAAGCAGATCCCACCCCTTATTCTACTCTATTTTGGTCCCTTGTGTGTTTTTTAATCCTTTATCGCAATTTGTAATTGTTTCTTTTTTTTAATCCTCACCTGAGGATATTTTTTTCCATTGCTTTTCAGAGAGAGTGGAAGGGAGAGAGAAACATCGATGTGAGTGACATGTCGATTGGTTGCCTCACACACACACCCCGATCCAGGGGTGGGGTGGGGTGGGGGGGTTGGATTAAGCCTGAAACTGAGGTATGTGTGCTTGGCCGGAATTGAACCTGGGACCCTTCAGTCCATGGGCTGATGCTCTAACCACTGAGCCAAACCTGCTAGGGCTGTTTCATTTTTTTAATCTTTTGTTTTTGGTCTGACTCCTCTACTAGAATATAAGCTGTATGAGGTCAAGAAGGACATGTCTGTCCTTCAAGAGACATGCTCATCACTGTATTCTCAGCATCCAGCACTTAATAGGTGGCTCAAGAAATCTTTGCTGAATTAACATACAGTGAGCAGGTAACAACAAGGCACCTGGGGATATGAAAATGGATGGGATACAGTCCCTGCTTTCAGAACTGTCTTGTGTGAGCAACAGTACCAGAAAATGCGGAATGTACAAGATCAGGACCAGATTGGGGATGGGGGAGGGGTGTTTTAGGTACCCCTAAAATAGGCCTAATCTCTGTAGGGCTTTTGTTACCAACTGCCTTGAACCCAGGATAAACCATTTGGCTGTTCCCTGAGCAGACCAGCAGCAGAAAGGGCTGACAACTCATCCCTTTCCAGTGAGGGAGGGCTTGCCAGTCAGTTTCACAAGTCCAGTTGGTGGCCAAGTCCACAGTCATCAAGGCCCCAGAGATAGCCCCACACCTTCCAGCCTAGTTTCTAATCTTTTGCCTGGTCTTCTGCTTCAGAAGAGAAGGAAGGTGACACCTGCCTAGCCTTCAGGATTAGTGGGGTGACAGATGTCCCAGCTGGGTAGCCTTCATATCCGGAGGGCAGATGGGTTGTCCCACATGGCTCAGACAATACTAGTGCCTCAAAGAGCAAGTGGATGACCTGCCTTCCTGTTTTGGAGCCCAGATGAAGGGGAGGAAGGCAGGAAGTAAGAATCTCTCTCTTTGAAGAGAAAGAGTCCAAGGCCACTGCTGGCTCTCCTGGGAGAAGCTCACCCCTCAGTCCAATCTTCTCCCTGTAGTGGGGCAAGAAGGCAGTTGCTCACAGCAAGCAAGAAACCTTTTCTCTTTTTTTCCTTATTTTATTTTCACCAGAGGATATTTTTTCTATTGCTTTTCAGAGAGAGTGGAAGAGGGAGAGAAAAAAAAAGAAAGAGAGAAATAGTGATGTAAGAGAGACACACTGATTGGTTGCCTCCCACATGCACCCCGATGGGGGCAGGGATGGAGCCTGCAACCCAGGACCCTTCAGTCCCCAGGCCGAGGCTCTAAACACTGAGCCAAACCAGCCAGGGCAAGAAACCTTTTCTTTCCTCCTCTCCCCCTTCCAGATTCATTCTTCCACCTACCAGAAGCCAGAAAGGTAGACACAGGTCCCCAGCAACCTGAACCCTTCTTCCAGATAGGAGGCTTCACAGCTAAATGCTGAGCCTACCCAAAGCCCCCCTCCTCAGCCTAAACGTTGTTTCTAGGGTTGGCTTGTCAGGGCTTAGCCAGAGTCCTCCAGAGTTTTCCCCATCATTCCCTACCTGCAGCCAGGCTGACCAAATGACTCATTAACACCTTGAGTGTCACAGAGCAGTCTTAGCTCTGATCCCCATTCTTCCCCCATGGTTGCAGGGGTTGGGAACTATCTCCAACTTTATTCAGAAAGGTTAAGTAACTTGCCCAAGGTTGCACAGTGGGAAAGTGGCAAAAAAACAAACAAAAAAAACAAACTTGAACCTCCTGAGCAGTTTGTCAAGTGCTCAAATAATCTTTGTGGAAAGAGTAAAATCTGTTGTTTCTTCGTTTCGCTGGCCTGTGGATGCTTCTGTGTGTTGGGGA